GCAAAAAAAAAAAAAAAAATCTATTGTATTTTTCATGAATAATATTTTTAATTATATAAAAGTTTCTCTCTCCTCTTTTTCTCGGCGTACGTTAAGCGCGGCCTGCTAAACAACGCTGACCGAAAATGGGGCGAGGATGACCAAAACGGAATGTAACGAAGGTTCAACTAGCTGACTTCATAGTGTCAGGAAATCGCAGTGAAGACAAGGAAGGGCTTTGTCGTCGACTGAAACCCTAATTAGCGAAAAAGAAAAAAAATCGATAATGTCTAATTCAGGAGGATCAAGTATCACGAAGTTGAATTCACCAGTAAATTCGAGCAAAATCAGTACCAGTGTCCTGAACTTAACGCCTAAAGCTAAGGTGGGGACTAATTGGATTAGTTATCCCGGGGGTAACATTGTTCCATTGCTTACTGTATAACGAACAGTAACAAAAACAATTGAGAAGCCTAAGATGATAGACTAAATCCCCTCTCAAAGGGCTATTGCTAGCATGAACAAATCAATTGCAGAGGAGGAGCAACAGGGCAAGGAGCAACAAGGTGATAATCTACTGAAACAGAGGAAGGCATGTCTAACTAATGGGAAGGCAGAAAAATCATGGGTTAACCTGTTTGCTGGCAACATGATGGCTACAAGGGGAATAGACCTGGTCTTTATTCCTCCAATGATTAAGAATGGAGTTAAAAAGTTTTAATTGCAACAAGAGGCCATGGAGGTTGAAACAGAGAAATGGCAAAAGGTAATTACATTGTATGTCATTGGCGCCTCCCCATCAATTGGAACTATGTAAAGGTTCATAGCTTCCCAATGGAACTTTGCTGCTAAACCAAAAGTATACTATCACAACGAGGGATATTTTGTCATTCCGTTCAATACCATGGAGGATAAAAATAAAGTATTGTATTCAGGGACACACACTATAGGTAATAAGCTAATTATCCTCAAATCGTGGTCTGCTGATTTCAATTTTTATGATGAGGTGTTGAAGACCATACCACAGTGGGTGAGTTTTCCAAACTTGCCTCTGAATTATTGGGGTAAGATTACATTGAGCAGAATTGCTAGTGGTTTGGGTTGCCCTATATATGCTGATGATTGTATATCTAGTACAACTAGAATCTCCTATGCTAGGGTTCTAATTGAAATGGATATTTCAAAGGAATTGCCAAAATGTATTATAGTGCAGGATCCACCGGGGAAAGAATTTGAACATGTGGTAGAGTATGATTGGGTGCCACAGTACTGCCACAAATGCCTTATGGTTGGGCATGATTTTATTGTCACGCAAGAAGTTGCTGAACCACAATTGGTAATGTAGAAGGATGGTCAACAAAACAAAAGGTTGTATTACCAAATCAACAAGACAGAACTTACAAGACTGGAGCCAATATGCAACAAGCAAAGACCCAAAAGCCAACAGTACAATGCATAGCAAGAGGGCAACTCAAGCAGAATGATGAGGTTAAGGCCAAACAGGCAACCCAACCTCAGCAACATGAGCCACAAACACATGATAATGACAAAGAACCATGGCAAAAATATAGTGGAAGAGGTCTGCAAGCTAACCATCCCAGTCCACAATAATATTCTCTTGTCACTACCAATGATTTCTCTCCTTTAAGAGTAGAACACAGGCTGATCATACAAGTTGGGTTGATGTTGTTGAAGGACAAAGGAGTACTAATTAAGGTACATAAGAGGTTCCCCACCAACCCATTTCATTATAAAGATAGCTACAAAGAATATGAGGGGTTTCAATAAAGTATATAAGCAAAGGGAGATGAAGGTGTTCTTAGAGGTGAATAAGATAATAGCAATTATTGAACATAGAGTTCAAGATACTAAAGTAAAAGATATAATAAATAAGGTTGCAATTAGTTAGAAATAGTGATCAAATGTTTTATCAAATGGCAGAGGGATAATGTGGATTGTGTGGGATCATAATAGTAATATGTTCACGACTCTACAGAGTCACATACAATTCATACATGGGCTAGTACAAAGTATTATTTTTACCAATCAGTTTGCTTTCACTGTTGTGTATGGGCTTCACACAATTGCTCATAGATATGATTTGTGGGCTGCTTTAAATGAGTTGAAGGAACATATGAACATGCCTTCGCTAATTATGAGGGATTTCAATGCAATAAAGGATATGGATGACAGAGTCAATGGAACTACAATTCAGGATAATGAAGTTAAAGACTTCGGCGATTTTATAGAAGATTGCAGAATAACTGAATTGCTAACTGTAGGAAAATCTTATACATGGACCAATAGCCATGTGTATAGCAGGATTGATAGGGCTCTAATAAATGCTCAATAGATGATGGATATGCCTCATATTCAAGTCCAAGTGATTGTTCCTTACTTCTCAGACCATTCTCCCCTAAGTATAGAGCTGGAAGTAACAATGGATAACATGAAAAGCCTTTTAAATTTTACAATTGTTTAGCTGAACATCCAAATTTTGGTCAATTGGTACAAGAAGGATGGCAAAACAAGAGTGTTGATATGAAAGGTATTTGGCAAAATTTAAAGATTATGAAATCTGCTTTAAAAGGCTAGAATAGAAAAGAGTTTGCAGATACAACTACAAAGGTTAAAAAGATGAGAGAGGAGTTGGCAACCATTCAAGCACAAATGAGAAACACCACCTCAAATGTTAATATGTGTGAAGCTGCAAAAGCTATTAGACAAAAGCTTGAGAAATGGAGTATGATAAAGGAAAGTATCTTCAAGAAGAGGTCAAGGGTACAGTGGCTTAAACTGGGGGATTCTAACACAACTTTATTCTTTGCCAGCATGAAAGGAAGAACCTCACAAAATCAGATCAGGCTCCTCACAGCTGAAGATGCAAATATAATAAGAACTACAGTAGGCATCGAGCAAGAAATAGTGGGCTTTTACAAGAGATTTCTAAGGATTTCATCTAGTAGCCTGCCTGCGATTGATCCCACTGTGATGAGGAAAGGACCGGTCTTAACAAGAAATCAACAGCTACAACTAATCTCACCTTTCACTAGTGATGATATGTTCAAATCACTGCAGGGGATTGATGACTCAAAGGCTCTAGGGGGAGATATTTTTAATGCATACTTTTACAAGAAAGCATGGACTATAATTGGGGAGGATGTAACAGCAGCAGTCCTAAACTTCTTCAATGGGAACAAAATGTACAAACCAGTTAACAGCACCTCAGTCACCCTGATTCCTAAAGTGAAGAACCCAGCTTCAATCAAACAGTATTGACCTATCTCATATTGCATTATTCTTTATAAGCTCATATCTAAGATGCTAACAAGTCGACTGCAACTAGTGATGGACTATTTGATTGATAAGAGCCATGCATCTTTTGTACCAGGAAGTATGTTGAATGAAAACATCTTACTAGGACATGAACTTATGAAAGGCTATGGAAGGAAAGGAACTTCACCCAGATGTATGATCAATATAGACATGTAGAAGGCATATGATTCCCTGGAATGGGTGTTTCTTGAACATATCCTCACAATAATAGATTAATATACCATCCCAGTTCCTCAAATAGATTATGAGTTGTGTCACCACAGTGTCCTAATCCATTATGATTAATGGCAAACCAGTAGTTCCTTTTGATGCTAAACGAGGAGTCAGACAAGGAGATTGCCAGATATGAGAAGTTAAACATAGTACAACTAAGTTTTGCAAATTATCTACTCCTATTTTGTAGGAGTGACCTAGTGTCTACAAAAATGTTATATGATTGCTTTCACTAGTTTTCCAACTCATCTGGTTTGATTGCAAATCAAGAGAAAAGTTGTATATATTTTGGAGGGGTGCCAATAGACATACAACATCAAATTTTGCATAGGCTGGGGTTCTCCATGGGGTCTCTCCCTTTCAGATACCTTGGAGTACCATTAGGTACAAAAATATTATCAGTGACTCAATGTCAACACCTGTTAGATAAGATGTTGGCAAAGGTTCATCATTGGACAGCAAAATTCCTATCTTATGTAGGAAGATTACAATTGATCAAGAGTGTTATGATTGTTATTCAATCCTTTTAGTCACAGATCTTTCCACTGCCAAAACACAATCATGATGAAGATTGAAACTATTTGCAAGAGATTCTTATGGACAAGGAAAGTTGAAAGCAGCAAGAAGGCACTGGTAGCCTGGAAGCAACTCTGTTGGACTAAGACTGTAGGTGGAATGAATATTACTGATATTATTGCATGGAATAGAGCAGCAATTCTTAAACACCTATGGAACTTGTGCAAAAAAAAGGATCGATTATGGATACAATGGATGCACACATACTATATAAAGCAAGGAGAAGCATGGACTGTCAAAGCTAAGCAAGCATCATGGCTAACTCAAAAGATTCTAGGTGCTGCCAAGTACCTAATTGAAGCAAATATTAGAGTGGAAGAGGTGATGGCTGCAGATTGTTATTCCATCAAAGACATATACAACAAACTTAGGGGAGAATTTCCAAAGGTTGCATGGAGGAAACTATTGTATAGCAATGATAGCTGCCCTAAATGGATCTTTATCGTATACATAGCCATACATGGTAGGCTATACACCAGGGATAGGCTTATCAAATGGGGTATCTTAACCAATCCAATTTTCTCCTTGTGTGAAGGAGCTGACGAGGATCATGAACACTTATTTTTCGAATGCAACTACTAAGCGGCTATATGGAAGAAACTACTATAATGGGCTAGAATAAACAGAGATATTAAAGGATGGACTGGGGAGATCAGTGGGGCTACACAGTTTGCATCAGGTATGAGATCATCAGCAGCCATATACAGAATGCTACTAACGTGCATTGTATACCACTTATGGCAAGAGAGGAATTGGAGAACTTTTCCTATTCAGAAGATGAAAAGTGAGGACATGGTCAAATTAATAATTCAAGAGGTCCATTGAGGAGGGAGTTTGAAATCCAACTTAGTGAATAGACTACAGAATCTAAACTTCTATCCGTAGATAGTTTTCTTGTATTTCATTAGATTTGGTGTTGATTAGTTTACCAAGACCTTCTATAGTTGGGGCTGCATGTCCATTTATAGAATAATAGTGAAGGGTTTCCGTTATACTTGTACATATTTTTTCTGATAATAAAAATTTAAATTACCAAAAAAATTATAAAAATTTCAATTCAACTATGTTGCAAAATCATTGTGCAAGTACAATTATTTGTCAAGCTGATAAAACTCTTAAGGTACATGATTTTACTCTCACAAAAAGAGCATAAGCCGTGAAAGAATTAAGAAAATAGAGCAAAATCCATTATAATATAGTATTAAAAGTCAAATTGCTAAAAATGCTAAGTTGAAACAATAAGAAAGTAACATAAGACAAAAGGTATTCAAAAGAAGTTGTCATTATCATTTTTCTTTCTATTTATATTCATTCCAATAAATTATAGCTTAGTATAATTTTAATTTAGTATTACATTATTTTTTATAATTCAATATTAGGTATTTAAGACTTCATATTGTTATTTATCAATATTTTTCTACGGGCTTGTGATGACCCAATAAGTCATCTAGAGTTTTAACCCTTAATTCTGTATTTTGAAACCTCAAATAACTCCTTTTAACCTTCCTAGATTTACGTACGCAGTTCGTGTCTTTTTCTGCAAGGATTTTATGTGAAAAATTATTTAAAATGTGAATTTGTGCCTTAGAAATTTATTTAAGTTGATTTCGGTCAACAGTTTGAACAAACGGACTCGGGTTCGTATTTTGATGGTCCCAGTGAGTCCGTATCATGATTTGAGACTTGGGCGTATGCCCGGAATCGAATTCGGAGGTCTCTAACTCGTGTTATCGCAATTTGCTAAAAATTAGAAGTTTAAAGGTATAGAGAATTTATGAATTTGACCAAAGTTTGACTTTATTGCTACCAGGTCCAGATTCTAGTTTCAGAACTTGGTATAGGTTCATTACTATATTTATGACTTGTATGCAAAATTTGGTGCAAAACGAAGTTGATTTGACGTGATTCAGACGTTCGGTTGTTAAAATAAAAATTCTTAAGTTTCATTGAAAATTTCATTCATTTTGGTGTCTGATTCCTAGTTTTAGATGTTATTTTTATATTTTGATCGTGCAAACGAGTTCGTATGATGTTTTAGGACTTGTGTGCATGTTTTGTTTGGAGCCCCAAGGACTTGGGTGAGTTTCGGATAGGCTATGGGGTAAATTTAGTGTTCTGGTGTAGGTCTCGCATTTGCGAGATTTGCCTCGCATTTGCGAGCACGGGCAGACTTGAGGATAGGTAAAAATCCGCATTTGCGAACTTGCCATTTCCTCTTATGCGAAGGCAGAATCGCATTTGCAACTTAGCATGGTCCTTAGCAATCTTCGCATCTGCGAAGAGGTGGTCCGCATTTGCGAGTGCTAGGGGTTCGCATTTGCCACCAAAAACCTCGTATTTGCGATGACTGGGTTTCTGAGAGGAGTTCACATTTGTGACCTCTTCTCGCAATTGCGATGTTCGCAATTGCGAACAAAATATCACAATAACGACATCCGCAACTGGTTAAAAACTGAGATAGACGGGATTTTGCTCATTCTTTCAAATTCTCAACCCTAGAAACCATAGAGGCAATTTTCCCAAGAGTCTTCCTTCCTCAATTCATTGGTAAGTGACCTTAGTCTACTTTCTTTCATTTACCCATTGCATTTCATAAGTTTTCATCATTAAACCTAGGATTTTAATGGTGGAAATTGGGAATTTGGGTAGGATTGAGAATTTTTGTAAAATTGAAATTTAGACCTCAAATTGAGGTCGGATTTCGAAAGTAATTACATAATCGGGCTCGAGGGTAAATGGGTAATCGGATTTTGATCCGAATTTTGGGTTTTGACCCAGCGGGCCCGGGGTTACTTTTTTGTTGACTTTTTCAATAATGACCGAAATTGAACCTCTTTCATTCATGGGTAGTTCCCAAGGCTTATTTTGAATTGTTTGATTAATAATTTACTAGATTTGATTAGTTCGGAGGCTTGTTCAAAAGGCAAGGTCGTAGTTGGATTTTGAGTCAATTGCGAAGCGAGGTAAGTGTCGTGATTAACCTTGACTTGAGGGATTAGGGCTTATTTGCCTATTTGTTACGTTTTTAAATGTGTAGGTACAATGTATATGTACGGTGACGAGTACCTATGCATTGTTGTTGGGTTAAAGCATGCGGGTGGGACTTGTTTTCTTGTAATTTATTGTCTTCTTTGATTATGATATCCATGCTTAGACTAGTTTATTACGTAATTGATCGTTATTTCCGCATTTATGAACTATTCATGATGATTGAGTATTTTTGGAAGTTGAGGTTCGGTAATTTGGAACCGTTATTGACGTAAAGTTTATTCTTGCTTATTCTATCTCTCAAATATTTATATTCATTGCTACATGGTAAGGGAGAGTGTTAAACCATGAAGGGTAATGCCGTGTCATTTATTGCTTCATTTACTGATTAATACATAGTGAGAAAGAGAGTTAAAGCATGAAGGGTGATGTCGGGCCATATTTATGGTTTCATGAAAAGGTTAAAATAAAAGCACGAAGGGTGATGCCGTGCCATTATTATTATTTCATGGTGAGGTTGGGAGTAAAAGCACGATGGGTGATGCCTTGCCATCTTTATTCATTATGTTTATCCGTTTTCATTAGTTGATAGTTTAGTTGACTCTCTTATGTTGTCATTTCTTGTTGTAGTTACCGTATCTTGTACCCTATTTCGCATGTCCTCTCCCAATTGTACATGTTTAATCTCTATTTGTTATTATGTTGCACGTATACCTTCGTTTGTACAGGTTTAATTATGTGGGTGTCCTGTCATAGGCTCGTCACTACCTCGTCGAGGTTAGGCTCGACACTTACGGAGTACATTGGGTCAGTTGTACTCATACTACACGCTGCACTTGTTGTTCAGATTTTGGTACTGGTCCCAGCTATACATGAGGCGCATTAGCTCGGATTGGCATATTTGGAGAGTTGAAGTAGATCTGTTGGCATCCGCAGACCTTGAAGTCCCCTTCCTCTTCCCTTATTTACTGTTCATTTCATTTGAAACAATTGTATTTATTTCGGACTCTACTTGTAGAACCTCTAGAAGCTCGTGTACTTGTGACTCCAGATGTGGGTTGTATTTAGATATGCTGGTTATTATGCTACTTCGTACTTTATTTTAGTTTCATCTCAGTTTAATTGGTTTATTTATTTGAACTGTTTTAAGAAATTGGTTTAAGAAT